CCCCCCCTCCTCCTCCTCCTCCTCTTCTGTTTACCTCAAGTTTGAATTTTATCTGCGCAACATTAGCTGGAATGCGGACATTGAAAACACACACACACACACTCTCTCTCTCTCTCTCTCTCAACCCGGCAGCAGCTCCGGAGGAACCATGTGGCATGAAGCCACCTCAAAGGGGAAAAAGTGCTCTTAGCAACACAAACATGGCGAAATCGCCTCGGCAATCCCGGCCAACGCCACAACCCCTACCTTCCCTCGCCCGGCTTCCGAACATCCCGGCCGTGACCTGCGGCCCCTTCCGGGGGGAGGCCCGGGGCCCCGGGGAGTCCGAGGGTGGGTCCGCCGGGCGTGCGAAAGAGGAAATAACAGAGTCCACAGTGGAAATGTTTCTGCTGGACCATCCGACCCATCCGCCTCGCCAGCAGCGAGGGGACGCCTCGTTCATCTCGACAGGGCTCAACGGAGAACAAAATTCCCACCCCAAAGTCCTGCTGGGCCGGCTCTCCCCACCCTCCAGAACTTACCTTGGGGCGGAATGCACGCTGCCGCTTGAATCCCTTTCTCTTTCCTTCTAGAGCGAGACGCAAGGAGGAAAATGATGCGCACGTATATTTGTAGAGCATATTCTTCTAGAATTTCCCTTTGATCGTCACGAGGAGCGATGGAGGCTCCGGAGACAGGTGCGGTGGTGGCCGAGGCTGCCGGCTAAAAGTTGTTCTCTCCGCGGTGGGCGGCTGGGTCCCCGGGCCGGGGCTGAGGACCCCGTCTCCCTGCCCACCTCCCCCCCCCCCGCCCCGGCGTCGCCCACTTCTCGCAGGCTGCTGCGTGCGGCTTGGCTGCAGGGGAGGTGGCGTAGTTTCTCTTCCTCCCACCTCTTCTCACTCACTTGTTTTTGTAGCCGTGGGCTCCCCTAATGCTTTCCTCTCCACAATGTTGTTTCATTATATCATGTCCATCATGTGACACCGGAGAGGCCTCTCTATGGAAACTTAAAGGGGCTCCCACGTGACTGCAGCAGCAACAACAGCGGCAGCGGCTGGAGTGGCGGCGGCGGCCGCAGCGTTCCTGCCACCACCCACCGGGAGCCCCTCGCAGCATCCCGAAGGGGCTTCTGGAGCCTGCAGAAGCCCAGATAAGGGAGCCACAGCATCCGGGAGCTGTGGCGTCTGTGCGTGCGTGTAGCCTTTGCTCGTTACATAGGAAACCGAACAGAAGGCGCGTCCTTAAATCCTTTCCCACAGTCGCAAAACCCACGCTCTGCTAAAATGACATTTCGTGGCTCCTACTTTATTTTCCCCAAGAGCAAGTTTTCTACCGGGGCTGATGAATTTTTACAAAGTCAAAAAGAAAAACCGGATTTCTCTCTGCGAGTTCAGCCGGCTCTTGGGTAGAACAGAAATGACAAAACAATAATAACAGAAATAGAACCAGGCATTTGATACATAATTACCATCACCACCAGCTTTAAAGCTTTCTGGAATTACATTCCTCCGGTAACTGTTGATGATGCTTGCAGGAGGCTAAATGCAATGCAGTTTTTCTCTTCCGCAGCTATATTAGGGCTTTGTTGCTGACAACAGTAAAAACTTGTTTGTGTCAGGAAGTGAGGTACGAAGATATGACCTGGAAGGTACAGACAAAACCAAAGTGGCAGTTTTTGCATTACTTTTCTGACCACATTCTTTCAAATGGTGAGAAGCAGCTGGTTTGCTGTAAAATGCGTAGCGTGCGTTTTGGTGGGAAATAAAATAATCACAAAAACACATGTTTTCCTTAATCATACTGTACATGCTAGACACTAGAAATGATGTATATGTATCTATGTGTGTATGTGTGAGTATAGAGAGAAAGAAGAGCAGGTGCATTTTTAGGATAGTTTTAGCCAATAATTTTGTCATCATTTCCAGTGCATTTAACTGAAACACTTAGCAAACACTCTGACTTATTCAAGTTCAGTGTTGTGTGGAAGCTATAACACCAGTTTTGAGTGCCCTCAGTATTACTGAATCACAACCCCTATAAGTGCTTATGCCTTAAATCCCAAATCTCTGCCTTAAAGTTTTTGTGCACCATGGAGATTTTATGCTATAAAGCTAAGCAACGCAGCTATTTCTATGCTTTAGTTCATGCTTTTCCATTTATAAGGAAAGCTCCCTGTGTGTACTGGCGGAATTATGAAAAACTTCTCAGGAAACTAAAGGGTGGGATGGAAGATCATCCTTTCCTTTGGCTTTGCCTCGACTGTATCTCTTTCCGCCTCATCAGTTTACCTCATCAGCCATGATGAATGATCTCCACTACATCCCTTCTAATGCCCCCAATTTTTACCTTCCTATCTAATGCCTCATTCTTCCATCCCTTTCCTTTTTTGTGCCCTTGCCTCCCAATTCAGCCCCCATGCTGCCTGGGTACTTAGCTCAGGCCTCCCCCAGTACTCCCTCCCAGTCCTCCTTGCCCTGCAGCTCCCCCCACCCCCCTCCCTTCCCAGCTCCGTCTCCCTTCTCAGCAACTCTCCCTCCTTACCTCTCTTTGACCTCCTTTATTCTCCTTCACAGTCTGGCCCTTGACTTCTCGGCCTCTTCTTTCCCTTCTTTACCTGCAACGTCCTACCCCTACTGGGGTCTCCTTCGCACCCTTCTCTCGGGTCCCATCCCTTCTGACGCCAAACCCCAGCATTCCTCAACGGCTCGGCCTGGTCGGCTTTAGCCCGATTTTGTTCCCGAGCCCCTGGGCTGGGAAACAAGTGTGCGGTGCAGAGTGGGGGCAAGAATCCCCCTCGGCGGTGGCCCCTGCCTCGCCCCCCTGCGCCCCTCCCGAGTCCCGGTTGCGACGCTTCCTGGGCGGATGGTTGGGACTCGCTGCAGCAGCTGCGGTTCTGCTGTGTCATGCAAGAAGGAGGCGGCGGCGGCGGCGGCGGCCGGAGCTGGAGGGGGAGGAGGGGAGGAACCTGATCTCTCCGGTAGCGAAGGGCTGGAGGCAAACACCGAGCTCCCCCAGAGCCGCCCGGGAGCAGGGAGGGCACCGCTACCGCGAGGGGCCCTCCCCGCGGGGCAGATGGTAAGTGGGGCGGCGCAGGTGGTCGCCTTGGGAAGGGAGCGCGCAGGGGGGGTGGTTAGGTGGGGAGGCGGGGAGAACTAGGAGTCACCCGGCCAAACTGAAGGAGCCCAGTGTCTAGTCGAAAGAGACCCAGGCCATAATAGGGATGACCAGCCAAACGCAGCAATAATTACCATTCTAATAACGCCCCGCCGTTGACCCAGGTTACAAAGAAGAGTTGTGCATCCCGAACCCAGGACAGAGCTAGAGCAATGAATCGGGTTTGAGAACCATCGTCCCATCAGGCTTGGCGCTTTAGGGTACAGCTGAGTAGCAAAAGTCAGCAGACACCATATTCCTATAGCCCGGCTGCGCTTTATGGGTTGTCTTGTTTAAAACTAAGGAGGGGGATGGAAACCTGCCCAACCTCACTTTAGCCACCAAAATAATGCTCTTGGCCAGTGGCCTCCGACGAACAGCCTCTGGTGCAATTAAACAATCAATAGGAAAAATAGCTTCATTCCCCCTCGCCACCCTCCTTCCTTAAGCTCTTTCAACCAGGATAATTTATTCTGCATAAAGGGGAAAGAAACCTGTGTGTTATAGTCCCTCCCATCTTACCCACCCCCCAGTCTCTGCCCCACACAAACTACCCACCCCACTATTCACCCCACTTTCAGACTGTGATGGATGTTGCAGGAGGGGACTGCCTTAAACTCTCAACGATTTCCTCTCCATTGCCCTTTACCCACAGGGGATTCAGAAACAGAGAACTGAGAGCAGTGAATGTGGGACAGGTTGGACACATATGAACATGACTTCTTTTACCTGAGAACAATTCTCAGGACAACTTTTTTTTTTTTTTTTTTTAGTTCCTTCCCATTTTGCTCCTGGAAATTTCAAAGCACTTTCTGAAATATCATTTCTTTCTTTCTTTTTTAAATGTCAGTCATACATTTAGAAGTAAGGGGTTGGCGGGATTAACTGAAAGGCTAATGACGGTCTCAAAAACACATGCTGTTGCTAGGGAACTCAAGCTCATCCTGCTCCCTAACCACTAGCATGTTCAGTGGAAATCAAACTTCTCAGGGTGTTATTAAAATGAGTGGCATTTGGTTAAAGGCGTTCTTCCTTGCTTTGTAGCATCCTGGATTGTTATCGATTGCCTCACACCCACATATCTTGTTTTCCTAATTTGATTTCTGTATTTGCGTCACTGCCAGGGACACGCAGACTAGACCAGTCAGGTTCACTTCCTGTTTCTCAGAACTGTTTTATATTTGGTCTCTGTGCACTAGCTGGTAAAACATTATCAAACTGATCCTCTTGGAAAGAAATCTCTGCTTTCCGTGAAAACAAATTATCCCAATTAAAGTCTGATTCCCATGGAAAACGTCATCATTTGAGGAATAAATTAGACTGCCAGTTGCCATTTGAGAAAGCCATTCTTAAAATGTAAAGCCTAGAAAAATCCATCATCTTTATTTCTTTTACCCAGAATCCTCATTCCTCACCGTTAGAACTAAAACAAACTCAAGTAGAGAGTAGATTTAAGTATGATATTTCTAAAATGAAGCCCAAAAAATACACATTGAAGCTGGGGAAATCATTTAGACTAAATAAGGCACGGAATTGAATGGAATCCAGGCCCCGGGAGCAGAAATAAGCTTGGGTTAGCATTGGGGTACTCAGAGAGCAGAGCGTGATTACAGGGCTACTCACAAATAGGAACCCATTACTTTACGTACTAATTGTCTCTTTTACCAATTCTGCCTGGACAAGACAGCCTTGCTTTCTTTTTTAAGGTCCTTTCTTTTTATGACAAGAATACCACAAAGGCAATATCATAAAAATAAGCACTACGTAAAATGTTAGGTGGGTTCTGATGTAGATAATTTGTTTAGACAGAAAATAAAAGGGTGCAAGGAGGAAAGATCAGTGGACTGAAAGACAGGAAATTTGTTCCTACTTGTCCTCTAGACTGGATGACCTTGGGCAAGCCATTATAGGTCTCCTCGCCAGTTTCCTCAGAGAAGCTTAATGAAAGTGCTGGACTAAAGATCTCCAAGGCTCCTTCCATTTATAAAGTTCTGTGATCACATTGAAGTCACCAAATAAAAATTTCAATTTTAGCTGGATTTTGCAATGTTAAATTTTAACACTGAAACTTGAATGCCTATCCATAGAGACCTTGGGGGAAATGATAATGGGAAGTGATTTGCTGTTGATACATCATTTTTTAGTGCCAGTTGCCAGACAATCAATAAAATCAACCTTATTCCCAATGTACTTACTCTCTGCTTCCCTGATGGTGTTGTAGAAGCAACAGGATAAGAGTTAGAAAGAATATAAAAAGTGTATGGAACGATCTTTCAGTCACTTTAGATTTAGTTAACCCAAGTACTTTGATGAACAAAACCATGGAGTGATGAGGAAGAGCTCTACAAGAAATAAATAATCAATTGAATCCTCATGAAGCTAATAATCTTTTTCTTTTAAAGATTTTATTTATTTATTTGACAGAGAGAGACACAAGCAGGAGGACTGGGAGAGGGAGAAGCAGGCTTCCCGCTGAGCAGGGAGCCCGATGCGGGGCTCGATCCCACCCTGGGATCATGACCTGAGCCAGAGGCAGACGCTTAATGACTGAGCCACCCAGGCGCCCCATAATCTATTTGTCTATATTTTAGTTAGTGGTAGGCAAAAATACATGTAGCACAGATTTCCAAATGTTACAGGTTGAAGATGTTAAGAAGTATCATGAGGAAATGTGAGATTTGTGCCACAGAGAAAGGAGCTGACTGTGAAACCCAACTCTGCCCCTTTATTCATTTGTTACTGAGTGCCCACTATGTGCCAGGCACTGTGCTGGGCACTGGGAATACAAAAATGAATAGGACAGCCTGCTTGAAAGGACCTTATAGGATAACGAGGGGACAGATGAGTACACGGTTGATCACACAACGGTGAGATTCTATCAACAGGGAGCTTATTAGAGGGGTACCTAACCCTGACTGAGTTTAGTTAGGGTCCCTCACCAGAGAAGATGAGTTTGGAAATGAGTCTGGAAGGATATGTAGAAGTAATCCAGACAACTGGGCAAGTTAAAGAGAAATGTATTCCAGACAAAGAAGTAGTATGTGTAATGTCCTGGTAAAAGTTGTGGCCAGATAGTTGAAGGTGATTAACAGTGCCCAGCAAGTGGTAGATTCTCAGTTAATGCATTGTATGATTATGTGGCAAAAGTTCTAAAGGACATACCAAGAGAGATCAACAAGGTCTTATATTGGGAAGGGTCTTGCATGCCTTCCTAAGAGGTTTCAACTTATCCTAAGGCCATCGATGAATTTTAAGGAGCATAGTGAGGTGATCAAAAGTCCATTTTAGAAAGAAGTTCACTCCAGTTTGGAGAATTTATTAGGGTGATTAACACTATGAGCAGGGAGACTAGTTAGGAGGTTGTTTTAGTATTATAGGAAAAAACTGATGGATATTTAAATATAGACAGCAAGAATGGAAATGGAGAAAAGGAAAGGATTCAGGAAATATTAAAGACAGACTCAACTGAATTTTATTATTGATTGTATCTGCAAGATTAAGGAATAGGAGACTTATGACTTAGGTCAATAGGAGGATCATGGTACCATTTGCTAAGATGAGGACTTCAAGAAGAACAGTAGGTTGAGGAGGGAAGGTAAGTAGTTTGATTTTAAGTGTTGAGTTTGAAATGTCCATGAGGATATCAAAGTGAAGCTGTCTATATGTAATCGAACGGGACAGTCTAGAACTCGAGAGAGATCTACGCTGAGGACATCAGAATAAGTGATAGCTCATGGAAGTAGATGGAATTCCCAAGAGAAAAGGTATAGAGTAAAAGGAGAAGAGGACCTACTCTGGAACCTATTCAAATGCCAGCATTTAAAAGGTGAGGCAAAAAAAAAAAAAAAAAAAAGTGAGGACAAAACGCTATAGGGGAAGACTATCCGTAGAGATTAGGAGGACCAGAAACAAGTCATTTCAGAGAAGCCAAGGGAGGAAATGTCAACAGTATTAAATGCTAGAGAAAGATCAAGAAAATGAGGACTTGGATTTCAGGACAAGGAGGTCATTGTGTTTGGCAAGAAGGAGTTTACTGGGATAAGGGGGATAGGAGCAGATTACATTGGATTAAGGAGTGGAAGGGAGTAGAGGAAGTAGAAGTAGTTGTTTTGGATAAGAAGGATGACAGGGCAAGTAGGGAAGGAAAATAACGGTATTGGGAAAAGAGTAAAATCATGGTCTGTGAGGTGAAGGCTGCATAAGGAAATAATACAGTAATATGCAATTCTTCATTCTTGCAGCCTTCCCCTTCAAATAAATGTCATCACTGCACACCAGTTCCTCAAGCCAAAAAGCATGTAGATACTCATGGTTCTTCGCTTTTCCTCAGTTCTCATGTCCAATTCATGAAGAATTTGGGTCAACTTTACCTCCAGAATATTTCCAAAATCTATCTCTTTCCATCTCCACTGCCACCACCTAATACAAATATCATCTTCTGGTCTCCTGTAATAACGTTCTAATTGGTTTTCCTGCTTCTACTCTTTTCCCTATTCTTCACAGCTAAAGTGACATAAATCACATCATATTGCTTCTCTTCTTAGAATCCTTCCATGTCTTCTGATTGTAGTTGGAATAGAGTCCAGACTCCTTTGCTGGCCTGTGAAGCCTTACAGGCCATCCCAGACCACCTCTTCAATCTCATCTCCCACTGCTCTCCTCTGACTTCAATCACAATGGCTTTTTTTTCTACTCCTCAAGCACAACGGGTTTGCTCTTATTTTAAAGTTCTCAGCTCACATATTTCCTTTTCGTGGAACACTCTTTTGGTCATTCCCATCTGTTTAAAAGTCACCTCCTCAATGAGGCCCTTCCTGACTACCCTGATAGTAGGTAAATAAAGCAAAAGAAAGCAAAACTTTATTACTACTTGGGGTTTATTTTGCTTATGGCTGACAACCCCTT